AAAGTATTATTCCTAATAATTTATCATGAAATCACAAGTATTAAATTAAATGACTTTTTAGTTCGGGGGTAAAACGGCACTTTACTCTTTATTTATTCAATGAAAAAGTACATAGCGATTTGCTACAAAGACTTAATGTTATTTCATATTTAGCCCTGGCTTCACAATTTCGTATTCATTCAAAGTAGTTTTTGCCCCTCAATTGTACACCTCAAAATTGACGGAAGTAGGTAATAGAAGTGACGCCATGATTATTTTTCTAAGTTTAGGGACGACAAAAGCCATTTTGCAACTCAAGGACCAACATGAGAATCAAATACAACTGCAACGAATATTGCTAATAAAAAGCTACCATATTTATTATGAAATGCATATTAAAATTATTTTCATTCATGACTTTCAATCCGTTTACTATAATGAATGTGAAAGTCTTTACAATTTCAAACTTAATAACACATAAGGCATAAAAAATGAAATGTTGGCAATTCCACTTTAAACTCTGTAATTCAATACTTGAAAAGCTAGGAACTAGATTAAGTAGGAGAGTAGTTAATCTCACACATATTCCTAACTTTCCCAATTCCTAGGTTCCCGATTACAAGTAAGTAAACATGTCATTGACGTTAATGTGTAAATCTCATCAATATCAATCAAATTTTATAAGGGTGTGCAAGATCTGATCCAATCCGTCCAAATCAACAGACCCAATTCGCTCAAACCGACCGACCCAATCCACCCAAACTAACCAATCCAATCCAATCAAAATTTAATTGGTTTTGATGATTTGACAGATTGGATTGGATTCGTAATTCCCAAAACTGACATTATTGGATCATGGATTGGCTTGTGAGAATCAAATCAAATCCAATCCAATTCAATGTAATTAGTTTCATGCTTATTTTGCTTGTGTAGGTCTTTGTAATTGAAAAAATTATGAATATTTTAAGTCATTTGAATGAGTTATGTTTAATTATAGAATCAAAACAAATTTCTATAATATTTTATTCATATTTTACATTTACGCCTATTCATATGTTTAAATTAAACCTAACGATAAATATTTAATATTTTATTATTATCATTTTCCATTATCAAAACCAATCATCTAATCCAATATAATCAAATATGAATTGGATTGAATTTAAATCACCGCGTGACACGCACATGGGCCTTATTAAAGTTCATTATCGTCAATTACCTACCTAGAAAAAGTTATAATTTAGTAACAGAATTTAGGGTTAACTACTAAAGTTGTCCCTGTATTTTATCATATAGGTCAATTTAGTCCAATGTTGTCACACAGTTGCTCAATGTGGCCCTTCCAATTAGATTTATGTTAAAAACTGACTTCATTACATTTCTCGAAATAAATAAAAAATAAAAAATAAAAAATAAAAAATAAACAAATTATTTCAAGTAAATAAATAACATTTTGTAGATTGAGTAAAAGGAGGGAACCTTTATGGCCACAGAGTAGTAGTTTACGTTGATCTCAAGGAGAATCTGTATTATTTGACGTATTTCCTTTTCGACCTTGATTTTTTTAATTTTTCTATTTGGCTCCATATTTGTTGAAGTCAACACTCCTCCTGGTAAACAATTTACATATAAGAATTGAACCTCGCCTTTTCACTTTAGTCATCCATCAACTTTTTATTGTGCAGGGATGTTATGGCACCAGAATCCATCCATACATGCATCAAGCTTATTAGAGAATTTTCTCCACTCAAGATGGGAAGAAAGCACTTGCATTCATCAGTCAAAAGTAATTGCAAATTACAACAGGAATGCTGGAAATTTGTCCAGGCATCAATTTTTGGCTGGGATTAAAACAAGCAGTAAACACACTTTCCTTTCTCAATTTTTGCACCAGCGCTTCTCTCTCGTCATCTCTCACTAAATGCTTAAGGCGACAAAAGTCACAAAAACTCAGCTGAAGACAACGGGGAAGAACATTATCTGCAACCAAACTTTGTACTGATCTCCATTATTAGAAGATATAGAGTAGAGTGCAGAATTGAAAATTTCAATGTGTTTAGAAATTGCACAAATTCGTCAAAAGGATGTGCCTTCATACAAGTTCTAATAAGCAATGACAACAATTGTATCTGGCCCTTTGATGAACTTCTTAAAAGCAGAGAAACTAATTCACATAGAGAAAGAAACCGCGGGGCGGCGGGGGAAGGAGGGACGGGGTTAGAAGAGAGAACGAACCGAACAATACCCAAGTCAACAATAAAGAAATTGCGGTAGGATTCATTAATGAAACCCAAAATGTAAAGATAACAGTATCCAAACCACTTTTACCTTTCTCCCCATCTCGACATAATGGAAAAAACGCATTTTAAAAACTGAGAACCTGCCTATAACTCGCACAAGAACGAAAAAAACAGTTACCAAAAGATTCACCATTAAAACTCAACCTCACTTTGGAAGCCTTCAAACCCATATAGAAATAATCAAGAACAAGAACCATAAAAATGGTGGTTGTGAAGGCCATAGTGCCAAGAATCAGGAAGAATGAGATGAGCCATTGTTCACCTTTGACGATAATAAATGACTGATAGCAACAATGCTTTCAAAGCGAAAGGTGTAAGGCGAGTTGAAGCTTTTCGGTACCTGAACTATTGTAATTAAAATAATTCAAAAATAGTTTAAGAAGATATTGATTATCATTCAAACATAATAATTGATCACAAATCGTAATATACTCAATTAGTTGCACAATCAACGCCTCCCACCCCACAACGAAAAACAAAAAACACACAATCATCCTTTGCACCAACACATAATGGTGCAAATGAGCATACATAGGATTGTTATGAACAGATGTGAAACGGATAGAGCATCAGTTAATAACTTGTCAACACTAGAACTTACCTGAAGTTCAGAGATCAAGTGTAAATCATCATTTGCACCAACAAAAACAAGCACAAAGACAACCTCATGCTCACACAGAGCATTGGTATGAGCAAACGTTCAAACCATGGAGCATCAGTTAATAACTTGTCAACAATTGAACTTACCTGAAGTTCAGAGATCAAGTGTAAACCATCATCTGCCCTAACAAACCATCACAAATACGTTCACAAAGAGGACTGTTATAAACAAATGTGCAAAAGGACGGAGCATAAGTTAATAACTTGTCAACAACTGCACTTACCTACAGTTCAAAGATCAAGTGTAAACTATCATCTGCACCAACACATACAGCAATCATGCTCACACAGAAGAATGTTGTGAACAGATAGATATATAGCAGAACCTTCAGAACATGAAAAATACAACAGAACATTATCACTTTTCTATCCAAAATAGTTATATAAAAAATAATAACAAAATGGTCAACATATGTGGGCTCAAAGCTTTAAGTTCTAAAACTTAAGAGGGTTAGTTTCATTTGCGAACTAAAGATTGAAAAAGTTACAACATAAACAATCCTTTAGCCCACATCTTCACAGATTTATTTAATAAGCGTTAAGCTTATCATAGTATCAATGTTTCCTTGCAACTGTAACCTCTCAATATACCATGAATTCTAAATGTTGGGCTATTTAATCTTAATTGTGGGGAGAATCCCACAAGTCAGGGGTAGGCAGCAATTTTAAAGACTTTTGGCAGTGCTACAATCGAGATTAATAGAAGGAAAAGGTTTCGAAACAAGTTTGAGAGTGCAAACCAGAGTATTCCACTAGAACAATGAGACAGGTCACAATTAAGTGCTACAATAATCAGATATCTAGAAGAAGAACAACCCTAAACAAACTTTAAAAATATAAAAATATTTCAATTATGGACTCAGGGATCCAGGCTCTCATTATCAAATACAACACCACCAACTTGAGCTAATTTGATGATACAAAATGTCACAACTATTGTTTCACTTCTTCAGATGCATACCTTCAGGTTAATGACAGCTACTCTATTTCCTGGTGCTGAGTTCTTATTTTCCATAGCCCAAGTCATTGACTTTAGACAAGGAAGTACAACCTACAGAAAAACCCAGATCAATGCCATGATCTTGCACTCAGAAAAAAAGGATAAACAAGAACAGAAACAAAGCAAAGAACTCTTTTCCATACCACGTTCTCAGGAGTATCATCATTCCAATGAAGAGATACCGGGGCCATTCTTGGAAAATTCAAGTCAGAAACACTTTGAGCAGGTGCACCAGCATCATTCAGATTAAATCAGTTCATTACTTCATCTTGGCGTGGCCACAACAAAGAGGTCATATTGGACGTTGATGTCAAGTTCTTCCTGTCATCATAGCCAGTCACAGTAACCTGAGAGCTACGAGGCGCAACTTTAGCTACATTTTTCTTAACAACAGAAACCTTCTTCCCACCACCTCTAATAGCAGTCATTGCTGCAATAAAAGTTTCGGTAGTGGTTGCTCCATCCTCTGCGTATTTGATGGCTTCTCAACATAGGTTGTTGTACCATAAAGTTAGGGAGTCTTGGGCATGTAATTCACCAAGGCATGACTATGCTACTTCACAAATTTCGTTGAAACCCACTTGTCTTGACCCTTTAACTCTATCCTAAGCATTCCTTCCTTTCAAACCCTCTCTGCCACATAAAAATTCCCAAGCACTAGTTGCCCATCAGGTTTAGAACGACTAAATTGACCAACTTTAGGGCTAAAACCCAAACGTCTGGCATATTCATCACAGAAAGTCTTGGCAGCCTCTTCAGAATTAAATTCCATACCCACGTATGGCTCGGAAATCCCATCCTCATTGTGAGACTTGGAATTTTCAGCATTATTCACTTCTCCACCTTCACTCAGTTCAAAAGGGGAGACGGGATTTGAAGTCTGGCTTCTGATGGTATTCACTAATATCAAAACAACAAAAAATAATGCAGAAACCATATATGTGGAATAACTCAAAGAAGACGATCATGTTAGAGAGTGCTCATTTCTTTTACTTGTATGTATGCATTGTCTGGATGCTGTGCAAAGCGAGGGACAAATAATAAAATAAAGCACAATGCAGTTTATCTACAGTACATATGCACTTCCATTAGTCATCAAGAATACAAAATGAGAATGAGGATGCCCCCGATGGCTTTGTGAAACTTATGTGAAGATGACCATAAAGATAAGAGAAGCGTGCATATGCAAAAATAACCCAAACAAGATGGGCAGAAAGAACTTCTAGATGAGGGCATTAGTAATTAGTAATTACAGCTTACAACAGAGAAGTTTGGATTTTAAAAACTTAACCTTTTCTCACTTTCTAATTGCAACAACTGTGACATTGTTTCTTTATCTAACTTGAATCCTGCTATCTCTACCTCCTTGCATACATCCCTACACTTTGCCAGCCTCCCAGAAACCATGTACATTTTAATCAAGTCCCGGTAGACATCATATGTCGGAGAGAAACCTGCTTCCTTAAGCTTGGAAATATATCTTACAGCCCTTGGAAGATCATTCAGAGCAACAAAAAGCTTTACTGCCACACGATAAGCTGGAAAATCAAAGGGGCAATTTGAAGCCTCCATTTCCCAAACCACAGCCAAGGCCTCCCTGTATTTATTCTCTGAATAGCGGCTATGAATCAGAGTTGTGTACATAACAACACTTGGATCATGCCCAGATTGTCTAAACCAGTCATAAACACTCTCCACAACTTCAAATTTTCCAAGCCTAATGCACACTTTCATAATAGCAGTACAATCCTGCTGGGTTAAATTCAGGTCTTCTCTTTTCCCAAGCTCGTCCAGTAAGGTCCCTATAAGCCTGTGCTTATCCGGGTTCTTCCCAAGTTCCAGTATTAGCTTGGCATATACGCTCGTATCCAACTTTCTTCCACTATTCTTAGCTATGAATATAAGCTTCCAAGCAAGATGCAAGCTTCCCCCTTTGATGAACCCTCTTGCCATTGCCTCAATCACACCACGACTTGCCAAACTTGTGAATTTGTCCAAATTGAATGGCAGTTTAAGCTCATGGTTCCTTGCCAGGACCTCAACAGCGGAAGCCAAAAGCCGGTCATCCGGGAAGAGGTGAGGCTGTTTCTGAGCCCAAGAGAAGGTCTGCAGAGCTCTGTCAGGGAGACCCATGTGACCCAATTCCCTAATTGTCATGGAGAGAGACCCTTTTCTAAGAAAGGGAACCCACTTGTTGAGAATTAGTCCCACATCTTCATCTACCCCAAGGCTTCTAATTTCCCTTGCTAAACCAACCAGCGCATTGGGATTCTTGTAGACTTGGTCATAAATGGGTGCCATCTTGACATGTTTCTTCGGCCTAGGAAGTCCCAAAGGTCGAAGCTTGTAAGGAAGTGGGAGGGGGAGAGGCCTTTGTCTATCCAACTTTCCAGGCTTTTGGGGTATCCTCCCTTGGAAAAGTGATGAAATAGCTTCAATCTCATCTGCCTCCCAAGCAATATCTTCGCCATCTTCTTCTGCTTCTGCTTCCTTGAATTCCGTTTGAGATGATGGTTCTGTGGTGTTCTTCAACAAGTGGTTGATTCCAAAATCCGGAGGAAGTTTGGTGCGCCGCGGGTAGCGAAGGTTGCTGGGAAGTCTTCTCCTTGTATTAGAATTAGAACGCGCCATCAGAGACACCCTACCATTTCCATTCCCATTTCCTGCAAAACTTTCTTGGAACAAAATGGGTTTTATACCCAAGAATGCGCAATCCATTTTCTTCAACCTGAGATACTTGATTACCGACCGAAAGAGAGGACAGAGAGAGAGAGAGAGAGAGAGAGAGAAGACGCTTGGAGAGATGAGAGATGAGGAAGAAGAGAGTTCGGCTTAGGGGTTGAGTTTTCTGTGTCAGTGGCAGCCGCTGACTGTAAACAGTCACTTTTTAAGGGGGCACATATGTCTTTTCCATTTATTTCCAAATTAAGTAAAGGGAAAAACCTGAACAGCAACAGAAGGAGGTGCGGCAGAGAATTTCGAGGAAGACGAGGAGTACGATGAGATGATCTGTATAACAGAATCTCAAGTTTTAAGAATCGATGCGAGTGAGTGAGGAGGGAGAGGAGATCGACAGTTAGTAAAAACCAACTTCCCACATCTAGTTGCATGTGTTGCGTGTATATTTTTGGGTAAATTCACAAGTTACTAATGCACACTTTTAATGGAAATAAATTCTGAGATTAAATGTGATGTGGGATGTAAATCATGTGTGGCTTACACTATCGCTTGTATTTTAAAAAAAAATACATTTTTGATGCTATTAATATACTTTCATTTTAAGATGGCCAAACAACACTAGGAACTTTATTTTTATTTTTAATTGCACACAACCTACTTGAACAGGTTTTACCCATTTTTTTTTCACACTCAGTAGCCATAGAAAATAACAGCCAAAAGGATAGAGTAAAAAAATTATCATCATCTCGTTGATCAAATCTTATAGCCTCAGCCAAAATATTATGAGGGTACTCTCATTTTAGAGAGAGGTTTAGTTGGAATTCTATCTTGAATTTAAGTGGAAAAGATGAAGGCTTGGTTTTTTTCATGAGTGCTTTGTCTTCTTGCCTAACCCGCTGCAGCACTGTCTATTTATTTTTGTTCTGATCCTGCAGTGCAGCATAATTTTATCCACTGAGATTCTTTTTTCCGATACTGCATGTAAATGAATATGGTAGATAAAATGCCCGAGTACCTGAAGAATTAAATGACATTAGCGATGGTAGAACTCACGAGCACCTGAAAAATCATATACTCCTTGCAACTACCATAGTGAAGCAAAACAAACAATTCATATCTTATGCTACAACGCAAGGGGAAAAAAAGACTAGTGAAGCCGGGAGCTCCATGAGAGAGAACTCGCCACACCAGCCTACAGCTATCAGAATTAACACTACAAATTCCTATTGAATAAAATCTTGTATCTCGCACAAACATGTCAAATAGTGTCTCTCTAATTCTGGCGTGTCGTAGCTTTTTTGACCGCATAGACCTATCAAATCTCTTTGATGCTTTGGATTTGGTACATGTACAAATATGTTGACAACAATCTTACACAAAGGGAAGGAAGGGCTACACAAAGATGTATGTAGCAACTGCGAGCATCCTGAACTTGCTACGTGGTCACCTTTCCCCATGGAAACCAGATGTAACACGCACCTGGTGGGAGGTACAGTATAGGAAGTAAAAAACATCCGAGGCCCTTACTTCCGCGGCTTTTTTGAGACAGACTCTGATTGAATCTCAGCCTGCCAAATTTAAAACTTTTGCATGATTAAACAGTAAAAGAACCTAATTTAAAACTCAACATAAACATAGAGAAAGATGAACATGATATCCATGAATTTCCTACTTAAATTTTGCAGAACAACCACCCAAGGTTTTTTGGTTGTTTTTGATCAAGTACATTGATTTAAAAGAATACAAATTTATAAATAAACCCAATCCTAGACATGTATTTATAAAAAAACCCAAGCACTATTTAAACATAGAAACACACCCAAAATCAACCCCAAAGTCAACTTTTTGGGTGTGTTTATAAATGGGTTTTGAGTGTGTGTAATGATGGGTTTTGGGCCCCCCCCTCTTCCACCCCCCTCCCTCTGTTGTCCCCCCCCCCCCCCCCCCCAAAAAAAAGGGGACTGCAAGTGTAGTTCTATGGCTGCACAACTGTACATTCCTTGTATAACAAAAAAAAAAAAAGAAAAAGAAAAAAAAAAACCAATCAGACAATCTGTCATCAAAGACACGTACGTCTGTTTCTCTCCCACAAAGGAAGCCACAACAATCCAAGTTGCTCAACAAGACACAGATAAGGGCGTAGTTCCCAAATAACAACACCTAACAATGTTTAGAAGAGCTATATCACCAGGTGACTGAAGCCATGGTAATTGAGCTCTTCAATGGGTTTAAAAAAAGATAAAGACTTTCTGATTTCCCAAATTATGGGCCCAAGATACAAGATACATATCAATATCCAACTGTGTATTTCAAACATGGATATGCAATCCATTCAACTGGTATAGTCCACAGCTGTAAGGGAGATCCAGGTTTCCTTCTCAAAACAGAAAAAAATTAGATTAAAAAGTTAAAACTGTTTGTAACTTTAAGTTTTTATTTTAATGGATCATTCTATATACATCTTCTCATATCACTCACATCTATCATATCTGCTCAGTATCCTCTCATTTCTCCTTCTCTATCCTTACCTCAAAGCAAATTCGAATACCAAAAATAAAAAATGTCAACAGAAAGGTCCTAATTCCTTCAGCTCTTGTTGGTCAACATCCCAATCTCCTTTCTTACACACCCACCAAATTATTGAACACCACCTTTTTTTATTTTGGGGTTGATAAATGATTATGCAGCAAAATCTAGCACCCTCTCTCAAGTTCTCTACCACAGCCACTGATATAAGCCAAGGGTTCTGAAGATGAAACGGAGCTCTTCTTCTATACATACCCTTCTATCCCAAATGAGTGGCCAGTGGCCCAGTGCACAGAAACTGAAAAGCTAAAATACTAAAGAATACAGCTGAAATATGTCCTCTTCTTTCTAAAAGGAAACAGAAATCCCCTTCCCTTTTTCCCATTCCCAATGACAAGTCCATTAATTCCATATTATCCACAAAATGAAAATCACCTTCCACACCCTGGCACACGTCCTTAGTAGTATTTTATCCTACCAACAAGCTTTTCCTTTCCTTATCATCATCAGGGCCATACAACCCATACAAATCTAACTTGTACCTCAAGTGAAAAAGGCAGAAGGATAGGATAGGAACCCTATTACCTCCCTTAATTATGACTATTGCATCCCAATCCAAACTTTTTAGACAAGAAGGCATTTTTACAGTCATTAACTATAAAAACATTTTAGAGATATTCATATTCCCTTTTGTTTAATTTATTTTCTTTATTCTATAAAATTTTATGTTTCCTAGAAATGAGGATGAAATTATCGGCCCTGCAGATAGTATCAGGCTTTCAATTTACAGATATTTCAGGGGATACATTGATATCATTTTAGGTATCGGGGAAAATTGACAAAAAATACAGATATTGACTTAAAAACATGGAATTTTGAAGTAAAACTTTCATAGACATTAAGTACATTATCAATGACTATTGAACAAATAAAATTCAAAATATACTAACTATAAAATATGCATATGATGAATTGTATGTGTATATAATGTGTGTTCATGAAAAGCCTGAAAATAAAACTTGATTAGAATGATAAAATAAAATCCATTGACACAATAGATACATAACCCAAACAAAATAAATTCAATCAGACTTAACAAAACAAAGACAAACATGCAGCCTGACCCATTGATACATAACCCAACCCAACTTATTAATACATAACCCAACATTAGACAATCAGACTTAATGATAAAGGTGCCGAATGAGAGATAGAAAATGAGGTGAAAAAGAAAATTAAACAAACCAGAACCAGAGCAAAGAGAGAGAGAGAGAGAGAGAGAGAGAGAGAGAGACAGAGAGACAGAGAGACAGACAGACAGACAGACAGACAGAGATGGCCGAAAATGACTGAGAAGAGAAGTAAAGCTTGGTTTTTGGCATTGATTCAGTGACTGGCACCTTTGATTACTTTCAAAACTGAAGACAAAGTTCTGGGTTATTTGTCCGGTATCGGGAAATATTGGGGAAATCGGGGATATATCGCCGTTAAGGGGGAAGAAATAGGATTATCCCCTTGTATCTGTATCAACACCTAGAAAAAGGGATAATAACTGCCAATATATCGGGATATCAGCCATTTTTTTCATCCCGTGCTAGATGAATCATGATTCATGAAAACATAAAAATACTTCTGGTTCATCGAAATGTCATTCCCAAAATCCCACACTAGCAATGTGATTTGGAATTTTGGAGACCACCTGCCAGATGTTTATCAACTAAAAGGAATCACCCATAGAATTATTTATATGGTTGAATAGGTTTTCTCTTCAACTTTGGGCCAAAGGTGATTCGTACATTCTTATGTTCTCTTCATTGTACATCCTAAATGTTTGGAAACAAGCTTTCAAGATAATTGCAAACAAATTTGTTTTCATATACTAGTAGTCATTTACCAGGGAACATAACATTTCAGAACAATTTTTAAATCGATAAAACAGCATCGATGTAGTTGATAAACCAAAAACAAGACAATATCAAATAGCGAATTGGTTGAAAATGCTTACGGCACTTGAAAGCTGCTCACGGATATAGGCCATTGATCTTAGCATGGCACCTAATGTATCCCTAGAAACTTGAAACTTGACCTCTGACTCCCCTGAAGTTGTCTCTGCGTCTTGAAGCTGAAAGAATAGGGTGAAAATGGCTTATCTTAAACGATCAAACAAGAATAAGTAAACAAAACAGCAGAACATTCAGAACATTATCACTTTTCTAGAAGTGGCCTCTATAAAATTTTCATTCAATATCCAAAATAGTTATAATAAAAATAAAAACAAGAATAGTCCACACATGTGGGCTTAAGGCTTTAAGTTCTAAGACTTATATTAAGGGGGCTAGTTTCATTTGAGAACTAAAGATTTAATAAGTTACAACATAAACAATCTGTTAGCCCGCATCTTAACAGATTTATTTAACAAGCATTAAGCTTGTCATAGTATCAAAGTTTCCTTGTAACTGTAACCTCTCAATATATCTTGAATTCTAAATGTTGGGCTATTTAATCTTAATTGTGGGGAGAGTCCCACATCTGAGGGTGAGGGTTGGAATCAAACAGTTGTTGTTCCACATACCACTAGCTTAAGCCTTTAGGAACTATGGTCCGCAGCAAGTTTAAAGAATTTTGGTAGTGCTATAATCAAGATTAATAGAAGGAAAAGGTTTCGAAACAAGTACACTTCAAGGGTAAAAGGTGCAACATGTAACAAATCTTGTTGCAGTTCCAATTTCATCCTCAGGTAGAAATCTGATTAAATCATGTGGTTCTTGTATCTTAAAATTGCCTCTTGTTATAATCTAGTTTATGTTTCACTCCTCTAACAC